GAAACTGAAAATCATGGTTAGCAAGGGGCCTTTTGTGCAATGGGAGAAGAACTTGAGGTAAGATTTGATAAGTGTGCTGTCAGTAATGCTGAAGCTTTGAACCGAAATGTCGACAATACAGTTCGCGGAGAAGGCAGCTGTCATCACTTTTCTACACTCATGCAGTGGAGACGGGATAAGTTCCATAAAGAGCAACGAGATATCACGAAGCCAGATGGTAGAAATCATCTTATATGTAAGAAAAACATGATCATGAAATGGAATTCACTCTATATTGATGCTTTTTCTGCCAATCTCAAAATGATGTTACCATTGTGTTTGTAGATATATATAATGATACAAAATCTGGTTTCTCACAGATGGAATCAAATATGGGAGTATTCGTCTAATAAATACTCAGCCTTAATTGAAAATTCACTCCAGCATTTCATTTTTGTTTCACTTAATTTCTGTTATTTAATCCCAAGACTTAAATCAGCTTCCCGACCTGCAACCTGCACACCTGGTTCACATAATTCTTTCCGATCACCAATAGCAACCTCGTTCATCATTCTCTCCTTTCAAAACAATGGACAACGATGGCATAATACGCAATTACAACGCGAATCACTTCCTCGCACCTCTTGGAGATATCACAACAGCTGCCGATGAAGGTACGAATAACGAAGTTTCATTCACGAGCTTAGTTAAGCATATACCTCTCCATCGAATTTCTCGAGATGAGTTGAAGGAAGGCAAGCCCGTACGTTACGCAGATGATTCTGAATTGGAAAGAATCTGTAGCTGGCCCGAAACATACACAAGAGAACATCAGATTGCTGATCTGTCTTGGCACGACGAGGCAGAATATGTGATGACGGCAGACGACTTCTTTGACCGTGCCCCATCTACGAACAGTTGCTTGGTGTCTGCAAGTCAAAAGAAGTCTTCAGATTCTTTTAATATTGGCAATGGCAAAACCCTTGATACGTTTACTTGTTTTCCGCGTCTCGCGCCAGAATTGCGCTTGAAGATTTGGAGAATTATGGCCTTTATGCCTCGAGTTGTTGTCTTGCAAGAGCGCACAGTTCACAATGCAGCACAAAAAAGATCAGTCTGTATGCAAACAACAAACACTGCTGCCAAAGTACTCCAAATTAATCACGAATCTCGTAAGGAAGCTTTAAAGTTTCACAAGCCCTGTTTTGGACTTCGCGTACATGACTCTGAAACAACAGAATTTTCCGACCACGAAGCTGTCGTCAATGATCTCATGATTCATGCAAATCTTCAAGCAGATACAATATATTACGACAGCTGGTATCTCCAATTTCAAACTGTGCCACCTGTACAAGAACTTCCTGAGTTCCCATACATGAGTACCCATTTGAAAGACATATCCAAGTCTGCACACAGAGTTGCTTTTAATATCAGTCATGCAATCACGAGAAATCGCTTTTTCATCGTCAACAGCTTGATTAGAGACTGTACCGCCCTGAAAGAAGTCTTGATTGTCATTAGAATCAACGACAGCCCATCAAATCGTACATCTTCTGGGAATTTGGAGTTGTTGGAATTAAATAAAGACGAATCTCGGGTCTACTACGAGAGATATCTTGGGGCTTTCATCGAACTGTATGACATAGTAGATGATCAAAATATCTATAAAGGGGACAGCAAAGCAAATTTAGGACGACCTGGAGGTCCCAGAGTCAGAGCTGTTGGATTGATAAGGGATGGTGTACGAATTTGAGATGTTCTGAGGGTATGAGAGAGTGAAAGAAACTTTTGATGGGAAAAATGATCTTTAAATTATTGATAATGAAAGTATATTTGTTGTAATTATGGTTAATTGCGAATGAACGCTTCTAGGGGCCTTGCTAGACAGCAAGCTTCAGATTAAATTCTAGATACTCGGGTTGTTTAGTATAAGACTTGACTACTAAGTCTTGTTGTGCTCTTTGCGCGGTAGAGAATAATCTTCATTAACAGGATAGGATGAATGGAACACGCCTCAAGCCGTGTACAATTAATCCACTTAATTTCATTATTTTCATTGCAATCGTGAAAACAGTGTTTCGACGACCTCATCAATTCTTTTGTACGAAGATGAGGTTTCAAAGATGTCTCCACGTTAGTGAGATGAGCTTAATGAAGCCTTGAGTTTGAAGTTATATATGCATCACGTAGGTAGGTATCATTTATCAGTGGAGTAAACCAAATCTTTATTAGACCATGCACATGTCACTTGAAGCTTTATTCATTGCCAAATTTATACCCAAGTTATTCATGCGGGAGTTTTACCTTCATTGCTTGCCAACTTTTTTGTCACGTCCGCAACTGCCATTACTCAGTAGAATTATCGTAAATGCACATTAGATGTTGTAAAAGTGGAGAAAATTATAATTCTAGTTGAAAGATGCAAAAGCTTCATCTGAATAACCTCCCAACGGAGTTTGTATATCCCATCCTCGAGTATTTCCAAGATCTAGATCCAGACCAAAAGAGTATCAAAAGTAAATGAAATAACATTTGCAACATCCCCGAGTGCAAATTCTATTCCCTCAGCCCAAAAATGCCCGTCCATCAAGTTTGAAAGCCATCACTAGGATCTTTCTCTCAAACTTCAAAGAGAATTTTCTCTGAGTTCGCTACCCCTTCGCCTTCACGTTGTAGTTCCGCACGTCTCGCTGATTGTATTTCTGGAACAGAGCCAGGTAACTCCGCGAACCCTTCTGGAATCTCTAGTTCTTGCAAAGTACTATGAGCTCTTGGAGGCTTCGGAACCCTTGGAACCCTATGAATCCCATCAGCTCTACTGTCGTGTTCCTCTCGCTCAACAACATCTTCCCGCCCCATCTCGGCCATTAGACCACCCAAAGAACCCAAGTTTGGAGGAATATTTTCGGTAATTGGTGGCATTCTTCTTCCTCTTCGGCGACGATGCTTTCGCAGAAAGTACCAGCCGAGCATGTAGATACATCCTAGGAATAGCACAACAGCGAAAACACTCAAGATTATAGTGGTGGTATGTAAATGACGAGCGCTGTCTTTATTTGCCTTGTCTATAGCAGTTTGTTCCGCGGGTGAGATTGTGATAACAGCAGTGTAAGCACCGGGAGTTAAGTTGGCAGCGCGACTCTCTTGGCTAATGGCCGATTTCAATGCACCCTTCAATATTGGATCTGTCGCGGTTGCGGCAATTGAGTTCCAGATTGAGATCTCACTAAGAGCAATCGCAGCTATTCCAGTGGGCGGTATGGTGGGCTGTGCGATGGAAGTCGAGGTTCTAGTGGTAGATGGTACGATAAGAGTTCCCGTTGCACCCATAGGTGTTCTCATCGGTACAACACCGAGCGTTGAGGAGGGGACGATGATTGTTGAGGTGTGCGTGATTGTGATGAGTCTTCTTAGTCGTTTCATTCCGCACTGGGATGCATCGAATATATCTGTTGGAATCGCTGCTACAGATGTATGCCCAGAGCTGACATCCTGACCACCAGAAGATGCTTCACCATCAGGGCCCGTACCGGTAAAAGCCCTTCTCAACAAATAAACAATCGCCATCTGCAACAATTAGCTAAGTTGAACAAAGACCTCCCAGAATGATTTGCAGGGCTAACCTTTCAAGAAGTTTGAAGATGAATACGGGGAGAGTTGAGAGCCAGGAACAAAATATTCTTGAACCGGAAACCCAAGTTCCGCTTAGTGAAAATTCTGATCCAAATAATTCACCAATTTATTGGATATCAAACTCAGCCACGGAGTATCATTAATCGTCTGATGTTGGTCGGTCCAATACTTGGTTTCTAAGACGAACGCGAACAAGCTTTTAGCCTCGCCGCCCTATTCAGGTGATAGTTATCTTTGGGGCTTTGCTCTATATCATATGATGACTAGAAAAGTGTTGAACGTCACCATTTGACATTCTCAAGATATTGCATAAGATAAGTCTGCTGTATCGAATGCAGAGAAATACCGCAGTGTTGGCGCAGAACTTACTCTTTCTGCGCATTCTTTGGCTCGAGATTACGTGACTTGGTGCTAGATTCCAAAGCTTGATCTCTAAATATGCTTTGAATCTTTCTCAAAGGTCAAATCGAAGAGATGAGTAGCAAATTTGTGTCTCTCTATCAGTGTTACACAATTCAGTTCGAGCGATCAACTTATGTTGAGAATCTTGTCTCATCACTCTGTTCCATTACAACCTGTCAACAGCTTGACGTAATGCATCATTGGTAGTGACCTGCATGCAAATCATGCATCGCCACTGATCTTCTACATAGTGAGCGAGCCCACATGGAAGGGAAGTCTATAAGTCTTAGATTTGGTTGTAAAATAGCAGTGAAAGATGAACTCCAAATTATCAAGAAATCCTACCAAGATCCGCGGCCTTAGCTATCTCCTGCGCTGCAAATTCCGCACGTATATTCCCGTCAATCTCGTGTCTGCCATTTCTCATCTCCTCCCCAGCATTAGCTCTCTAGTAGGTTCTTCCTCATCGTCTAACTCTAGTAATCAAAATTTATCATCTATTCTACTTCGTAACGAGGGGTATCTTTGTCGAGATCTAAAGTAAACAAAATGGCTTGCGAATAAAAGAGCCACCGAGGACAATTCTTAAGAAGCAAAGTCTACTAGGCTATCTTGCTAGGCGAGTGGATGTATAGTGCCGTTGATGTAAGTCGAGGCGACGTGAATGCCGCGCCGTCGAGCTTAAGGAGACTTCTGTTTACTCGAAAGGATGCCACAGGAGACATCGGATTGTCACAAAGGCCGTAAGTTTAATTTGAAAAGAAGTAAGGCAAGTTCAATAATACAAATAGAAATCGAGTAGCAAAGCAAAAAAGGAGGTAGGAATATCTGACGACTAAACTGGATTTATCTACCTGAATAGTTTGACGGGACCCTGAAGGCTTGAAGTATGGCAAGTTGATGCCTCCAAGATCATTGGATAGATGGAAACTCTATAGAGGACATGAAAATCATATTTGCCAGGTCAAAATTAGGGTTAAAACATTTTACAAGCAGTAGCTTGTACCGATGCGAGGGAAAGAAGATGTAAGCTCAACTGGTTCCTGATGCTTTCTGCTACCTCCTTGTTCGAGTTCAGAAAGACTATTCCCCTCAATCTCCTGCCGAGGACACCCAACTTTTCCCTCTCCTGTCATCTCATGAACAGGATCCTTTCCGTCACCTTTCTCAGGAAGTATTGAATGACCATTTATATCTTTAGTTGAGATTTTGTGCCTCAGTCGATAACCACGGAGAAAGTAGAACCCTGCGAGAAGCATACACACAAAGATAAGCCCCCCCAAAGCACCTGCGACAATTGCTGTTGTATTTTGATGAGAGGTTGCGATAGATGATTGTGTTGGTGATGGAATGAACACTGTCTCTTGAACCAACGACTGAGAACTAGACGTGTCATTGGATTTCTGAGTCAATGAAGGTTCAGGTATTGTTTCTTGCGTTAATGAACGAGAGGTAAGTGTCATTAAGGAAGATGACTCGATAGACGATGAAACAGATGCTGCAATTACTGTCTTGCTGACGGTTATGTAGAGATATATTGACGATACGATTTCAGTGCTTATGTATGAAATGTAGCTCGAGGCTATCATGGTGCTAACTGACGTCACAGTAATGTACGATGGCTCATGCAAAGTTGCAGTCATCATTGTCTGTACTATACTGGTACCTGTAGAGGTTTCCTCCGACATATTAAATCTCTGTTCAATGAAAGTGGTATGAAGATGTGAGTGAGTTACAGATATCATAAAATGGCTGCTCTCAAGCTAATGACGTGTGTGTGAAAAAATGATCGAAAGGGCTCCAGAGTGGAATTGAAATACTATCTGGTGCGTCAATTTTATCGCGATTTAATCTTAATTCTACACGCCTGTCATCCTGCATGTTTTAGGGTTCCAGGTCGAGGTTCACGGCATTCTCGGTCGCCAAAGATTCTCCAAATGCGTGACAGTATTCCCACATGAAACGATCGGGGGCGATCCTCCCCAGAATCCTTTCGGTCATTTGCTACCATTTAATTTGACTAAATGAGTAAATTGAGACCTCGCATCTATTGAGTGATTATTCACAAATATTCAACGTTTGATCTGTGAATCTCAATTTCAGATGTGCTAGTGGTGGTATGACGAGTGCAAAAATGGCACACGATACGAGGCTGGCATCTATACACATGCGCAATAGCACAGTTTCAGCTTCCTATCTCATCCTTCAATCATAATCCTCACGCTCCCATCTCAAACCTTTCTCTATTAAGTATAGAACTTTCTATCTCAGCTGGTTCCCGGTTCATTCTTGGACTTTCCATCTCTGCTCTGAGCATTTCTCCTCCGATCTCAGGTGTATTCCCGCTCTTTTCCATCAACTCGTGTACGTGATCACTAGGGTCTCTCACATTGAAACGTGGTTCTGTCTTTGATAGTACAGCGTGTCGCTTTCTATGTCTACTGAAGAGCCACATTGTGAGAGTTATTAGGGTAATTAAGGCAACGCCTCCGATAGTACCGCCTACTATCGTGCCGGTATTGTTATGAGAAGAATTGGCTTGGTTTGAAGATACGGCTATTGATTGTTGGGATGTACTTGGCGTTGAACTGGAGCTGGAGCTGGAGCTGGAGCTTGATGGGGAGCTAGTTAATGAAGTATAAGGACTTGAAGTTGATCGTGGACCAGAAAATGTAAAAGTTTCAATAAATCCAGGTACCAATGATGAGGTAACCAGTATATCAGAAACTGAAGTCGTAATGGCTAGCACGCTCATTGGAGTGTCTAGCGCTGATGCAAAAATAAGTACTGGTGCTATTTGCGAGGTACTATTGCAGGTGTATGAAGTCTGGGTGCCAAGACTGGGGCTTGATTGATCAGACAGCAAGTAGCTTTGGCAGTAGTCTGTGGAACTATGTAGCTGTTAGCCCATTTTATCCACTTCAAATTCTGAAAAGACCTACCAAGATAATGTTACTGTGATAGCATTTATATTGGAATTGACATTGGGCGTACATCCGTCAGTGCATCCAGTATCGTCTACACAAGCACCATAAAGCGAACAAACTGGAACGTTGCTACTATAGATACAGGAACCCCAAATTCCCAGAGGAAATGCAGTTGTACAGGTTGAGTCTGTTCCCATATACAAAGGAGATTGTGTATCCCCATAGTAATATCCACAACTAACGCGACCTTGGCCTCCTTGACGGCGACTGATATCAGGAGCCCGAGTCAATGGATGAGGAAGAGAAACATCAAAGACACTTAAACGATCTGGGCTCGATTTCTCGTCCATTGATTGATCCCGTGTAACTTCACTTTATGAGGTTGTACAAAGCCAAAACCGACAATGTGGAAAGTAAAAGCCTTTCAGTAGGCTGGTAAGTTTATCGAAAAGCGTTTGATATTTTTCCTTGGCTCTGTAGCAGATGCCATCAACTTGAGTGTGAAGAATAAGCTTTTTAAACGATAATTGAGAAGAAAAAGACTCGTAAAGCGATTTTCTTCGCTTGATAAATTACAATAGCATTGATCGTTCCACTCGTAAAAGATGCCGCAGTAGGTATCCGGCTAGGCTGACAACTAATCTATCAGTTTTCACTGACAATCAATGCGATCGGTGAGCTCTCACTTGTGAATTCAAGAATATCTGAAAAGCTCCGCCAATAAGTCGAGTATCAATCAAATAAAAATCAACGTTCCTATCAAGATCAAGATGGGGAGCAACATGATGCGATAAAATTTGAATGGTCACAGCTGAGGCTCAGCAATCTCTTTTTTTTCTTGGTAAGCCCCAGATATACCAACGGTTGGTCCTACTAGAGGAAGAAAACGGTGCGGCACTACATATCCAAGTAAGACATGCATCAAAATCAAAAGTGAGTTGTTTATCCGTGAGACCCCAAGATTTGTAATGGGGATCCAATTTAATGCGCGTAACAAATAGATTTTCTTCTAGCGAACCCGGTTGAACGAAAGTCTTGGAGGAAGAGCTAGTGAGCCCGAAAACTCGGTTGCACAAGAAACCGAAGTCGAATAGGTTCCCAAGTACCCTATTTAAAATCATGAGCTGGAAGTTGTCGAAATGCTAACCTCAATATTTCTTTTGTAAAACTAATGATAGAAGCATTCTTGCCTACAACAGTCATCGGTAGTGTGAGAAATTTTTTTTGGGAAAGTGATGCCAAGGTTAACTCTGTACACAAGCCTTACATCTTGCTGTCACGCTAGTAATGAAGCGAACAAAGTCATATGTTGCACATATCCGGTATCTGGCTGAGTGACCTGAGAATTTCCTAATAGAATGATAGAACTATTACAAATCAATCCTTACTACATAAAATCAGGGTTAAATCTAAACTGATCGTAAAATGGATCCGACAAATACCCATGGAAGCAAAGTTGACTCAAGTCGCACCATTAGCAAGATGACTTGCGAGAACTCAAATATACGAGTACCACCATTGGGCTGAGTTTCTGGATAGCCTTCAATTCGGGAGAACCGACTGATGTTTATGTGAGGGAAGAAACCCTCAACTCCACAGGATTTATACTTCAAATCGTTGGAAAGTAGACCTGACATTGTGAGATTCTGTACTGAATTCGATGCTCCCTTAGACAATCGTACATTCCGCCATTATTTTGGTGCCAGAATATTGATTTGCACTCCAGATTATAGCCCAAAGCCTCAACTACCGCCTCCTCCACGTTAGTTTCATTGTCTGAGCTCGCTTAACTCTTTTAGTTCTAGCTATCACACACATAAACTCATGTCTCCCAGTTTTTCCGCTTCAATCGCTGGCTTCATAACTTCACAAGTATCGTTTTCTAATTATCAGATACCAATCGCTTTTGGTCGATTTAGATCAAGAGCATACTCCCACCATACCCATACTCTCTCATCCTACAATTCAATCATCCTCAAACAAACACTGGCCAAATACTAATTATAGACCTCAAGCTTCTATTTTCAACCTCATCAAGACCAAAATTCGAAGTTCTATCCTTCCGTGTACGATCGGAGTAATTAATCAACCGATTCAACGCTTCATCTTCGGTTGATCCAAAAAATTCGGTCGACGGCCAGAAGGTTGTCAGTCAGCCAGAGAGCTTCTGTAGACAAGGTGGCTCTTTTGGAAGTGATTGACTACATCTAAATATATGATGCTGTAGATTATTAATACATCATGACTCCAGATAGACAGTAAAATAGAAGAATGCATTCTAGCCAGGACTGGAAAGCCTCTCACCAGGTAAATAAGTGCTATAACATTGAAAGTTTCAAAGTGACAAGTAGTAGAATTCTGGTACATCGACTCTGTGATAGTTTGTGTCCTAATCCTCATCTGTATCTATATCTTCGGTCCACCAAGGCTGAGAGGAAGCCAACAGGCTTAGGTGATTTTCTCGTTCCGCTTCCTTCTCATTATTCTCCAGTCTCAACATACACCACTCAAGCATTGGAATATTTGCATTCATGACTGTTCTTGGCTCCTCCAAAGCCTTTGGCCCGTCGTCTTGAAAGCTTTGCAGCAATAGCATTATATCCTTGTGCAAGTAGGCTGCCTGCATGGCAGTGGTTTCGATTCCGTCGCGCTTTTTGCACGTGGTGCTTGCCCCATGCTTCAATAAATACACCACGGAATTGTATGCACCGTGATAGCATGCGGCCATGAGAGAGGTTCCCTGAGGACCACTGACAAGATCTATCTCAGCACCATGGTGGATTAGGAGCTCCATACATTCCACCCTTGTGTTGATTTTTTTCCCAATGGCTGCTAAATAGAGCGGCGCACCATCTTCCCCCGCATGGTTCACATATTCATTGATATCTCCTGGTACCTTAAATTCTCGGCTAAGCAGACTAAAACTTTACTGTTAGTTCTGCAACACTGAGCTAAACGAGAATGTTAATAACTAAGAAGAAGAAAATACATACACAGATATAATTTTTGACAAACTTTGAGCTGAGGCCTGGTTAAGCATAGTACCCAATTTTTTATGTCGAATAACATCAATTTCAGGTAAAAGTTCCAGAATGAAGTCCTCTTCGAGATATTTCAAAGCTGTGAGTAAGATTGGTACTCCTGTTTGATCCTCCGTATTCAAATTCACACCCAATTTCATTAAAGCGTGTACCATTTCAGGGCTAGATCTTTGGATAGCAACTGATAGCAAATCTCCTCTGCTGTACATATCAGTCTCTAGGCTTGCTCCAAACTTGTGCAAAAGGGAAACTATATTTGGCGTACAGTACGCCAGAGCCAGTTGGATTGGACTGCGCTTTTTACCGCTTATAGAGTTCACATTCGCCCCAGCAAATACTAAAATCATGGCTGCTTTTAAACTTCCATTAAACAAGGCATGATGAAGCGCCGTGTCTCCATATTGATCACGAGCTTCTAGATCTGCACCATGTGATAGAAGCTCGTTTATGACCCGAAAAGAGTCATTTGAACAGTTTGCCGCTAAGTTTAGTGCAGTAGCTAGGGGCTCGTGCCTAACTCTGAGACTGCCATTGTGCTCTGCGAAAAGTAATGGTGCCGAAAGATATTCAGGGTGAGTGATCACTGTATGCTCGGCCTCGAGGCAATTCTTGTTCCGACTTTGGACGGCTAGCCAATGAAGAAGGATTCTAACACATCCTGTATGGTAATTCAATACCGCCGTATGCAATGCACGTAACACTTGGGGGCTGGAGGGCTGACTTCTATTCAAGATCTTTTGTACAAGTTCTGAGTCTCCAAAACCGGTAGCAAGATCAAGAGATGTGGAACCTTCCAGAGATTGTTGGGATTTGAGAGTTTCAACGACTATACTGCCTCGTCGTGGGAGCCCCGGAGGGAAAAGCTCTGTGATAGTTGTTGCGGCGCAAGATTCCATGATAGAGCCTTTAATTGTTACACCAGCATCAACGAAATATTCTGCAAGTTCCAGCAGCCCGTTATGGAGGACCGCTAAAAGAATTGTGCATCCGCAACTACATGTGCTTTCCGGACTCCATCCATTCTTGGACAGTGCATTGACCATTTCAACATCGTTGCACAATATAGCTCTCTCCAAACCAATATGGATGCGATTATCTGTGCCAAAAGTGTCGTCACCTTTTTCAACAACTCTCTGGAGGGGAGCTAAATAGAGTTCAGCAAGAATTAATGTCAAGTTTCTGCTACTTGACAATAGCTTTGGGGCCATGGATATAACTCTTGAGTCAGAGTGTGTATTGAAAGCACTTACAAGCTGATGATGGTGAATTCTGTAGTGCTTCTACCATGATATCATCTTTATAATTCAACCTTGCAACCATATATGGAGTCCATCCATCCGTATTAGCGAAATTGGGATCGGCTTCATGAGAGATGAGCATCTCGATAACAAAAACATTCTCCGCAGCTACAGCAACATGTAATGGTGTTACTTTAACCGGACCGTAGCATTCATTGGCATCAGCTCCATGTTGAAGGAGCATCTTCACCGCGCTCTCTTCGTCGCCAAATATAGCAAAGAATAGAGGTGTTAGACCAAGGCTAGCTTGTGCATCAACCTTGAGATGCTTTTGAACTATTCCAAATTCTAAAGCTTCAATATTGCCTTTGTATGCTGCTACATGTAATACGCTGATACTGGAAATTGCCTTTGAGTCCCATGTGCCGGAATAAGAATTTGGTTCATTGGGATCGGAAGTGATGCCTGGTACCCAACCTCCTTTAAAGACTTCCTCTCTATCTTCAAGGGCCTCTGGAGACCAGTCGATCAAGCCTTTAGAATCAATCAATTGACACATAGTTGCCGTTCTAGCGAATTCGAGTGGATTGTATGGTTGGTCAAGCTCTCCAAATTTATACATTACATTTGAGAGATGAGCTCCATGTGCTAGAAGTAGCTCCACAGTGCTCTCTTCTCCTCCTTCGATAGCTGAAATAATAGGCGTACATCCGATCTCATTTGTTGTTTCAGTGCTCCATCCTGCAGAAAGGAATTCTTCTGTTACAGCAATCGACCCTAGGGAGCAGGCCGTATGTATCAAGAAGTCATCTCTAGATTCATATAATTCCTCGGGTCTTAGGCGAGAAATCATGGATCGAATCAGCTCTTGATTTTCTGATGAATATGTGCAGAGCAATTCAAGAGGAGAAAAGTCCTCCCCATCGATCTCTTTGCAAGCTCTGACGTCTATGTCCATATCAACAAGCCTCTGACTTAGCGCATCATATCCGTTCTTAAAACTTATGTTTAGAAGAGACCGGCCATCAGGTAGAACGTTATTAACGTCTTCTTTGGTGGCTAATTTTAACAACTCTAGAGCGAATCTTTCGATAGAAGAGGAGTATGGTTTAACATCCAACATCTCAAAAATCACATGTAATGCTGTTTGATTATCATTATTAATAATATTTAACAAGGCTGAATTGGAAAATTTTCCGGAACTTTGACGTCTTTGTAGTTCAAGCGGCAGGTTCAGCTTGTTACTCAGATTTGATATAAGAGGAGAACCTTCGTATAGCTCGGCTTCCAGTGTTGTGTAATAATATGATTCAATGGAATGTTCATTTGGCTTGGAGCATAGTAATATTGGTGTGGATTCATATAGAAGAATTAGAAGTGCCCCAAAGTGATGTGGAATAGATGCCACCTCACAAATGTAGTGAATTTTGGTGTTTCCTACAGCGTCTTGGCTCAGAATTTCTGCCCCGCGGCGTATCAAGAGATCAATTGAGCTGTGTAGGGCAATCCAACTATCCCATCTATCGGGATCGTCCGGTTTCGACAATTCTTGACAGAGAACAACCAATGGGGATCTTCCCTCAGCATCTTTCGGTTCTAGATTTATACCAGGCATAGAAAGGTACATCTGAAGCGCCTGGAACATTTCGTGCCGGCTAACCCAGCGTCCGTGTATGATAGATAGTAAAACTGATGACCATGGCTCAGTCGGGTAGTCTGATGGATAGATTGAAGGCGAATACCATTTGCTTGCAGTATCTTGTATGTAGGCGGCACGGTCAACAATCGAGGTATATTTGAAAGGATCTCGAGCACTTAACGGGGTTAAAAACACCTCTTGTTCGGTAAACGACATCAATACTCGGAATAATCCAAGTTTGCCGTGAGCTGCTGCTATGTGCAGAGGTGTGTCTCCAAGCTCAGTTTTCAAGCTCATCTCAAGCCCAGATTGAATAAGGATTTCTATTATAGATCGTGGCGAATTGTAATGGACGGAAAAATGGAGAGCGGTATAGCCATTATGAGGGTCAGAATAATTTGGGAATGTACATCTTGCAAATACATCAGAGAGACTTGACCTCTTCAAAACGTATTCAACATTATTTTTGTCACCACTGATGACTGCCATCATGAGAACCGTGGTATTCCCAGTGGAGCGTACAGAGACGTTCTGATTGAATCTAGGCGAATGGAGGATATACTCAAGCATGGAAACACTGCATCTCGCTGCCATATGAAGAGTTGAATGGCCGCGATCATCTAACGCATTTATATCCGCCCCTGAATTTTCAAGAAGCATAGCAACTTCTATTTTCCCTCTAAGTAATGCAAGCATAAAAGCGGTTAGGTGACGAAACCCTCTGAAGTAACTTGGCTTAGATACTTTCAAGTCCAAGGCAGCACCGTGATCTATCAAAAGACGTACAACATCTATTTGGCCACTAAAAGATGCACTGTGAAGGGCAGTAAGACCATGAGTCTCTGGGCCATAAAAATTAATATCAAGATCCGATTGTGCAAGGACATCTTTCACAACCCCGATTTGGCCAAAGAGCGAGGCCTTTTGCAATGCAGCTTCTCGACCAATTACGTCAATCATATCGTTTGATTTGGAGATCAGTTCTAATACGGGAAGGCCTGTATCTTTTTGTTCGAGTGCTAATTTAGTAAATCTAAAGAATCAGCGTCCAACCATATCCTGCGCAATTAATCAAGATAAAGTAGAAACTCACCTGGATTTCACGTCTGCGGATATATTAATTTCGGTCACGTTTTCGACAAATCTACGGACCAATTTCGTTTCTTCGTGTCCAATCTTTTCCAGTTCAGTCATGCAGGTATTGTCGATTACAGCACCTTCTTTGAGTAGGATATCCCAGCCGATATCAGCATTAACAGCCATTGCTAAAGGTGACCAGTCCCGCCTGGGATCGATTCGAACATTATTAATAACCAAGCCCGACTTCAGCAAGCATTTCAAAACTTTACATTTGTTGTTATCGACTGCAGGATGATCAATATAAAGCGAGTGGTCGCGAACAAGCATGAGCTGCGGTGCCAGCGTGCAGGCGAGGGGAGTACCAATACCGCTAAATCTATTAACATTTACCCGAAATTCCGAATTCTCAACCAGCCAAACACACACTCTATCCAAGGATAGTAGAGCAGCGAAATGCAATGGTGTTGTATCCCACATATACCCAATTTTTTCATTCTCGAATTTGTGACCCGACATCAGTTGTTGGCTCCAACAAAGAAAGTTATTCGTTTTGGTAGGGTCGAAAAGAACTTTCAGTAAATGAAGCAAGTCCTCATCATTCTGATGATCAATAGCATATTCAAAAAAATGCTCAGAAGCATACCAATAAAACGGATGTTTTTCATCTCTTTCATCCACCGCCTCCTGTGTATTGCAAATCCCAATCTTTTTGAAATCGTCAAACAGAAGGTAGGTTAAACAGATTTTTGCGAGATGAAGATAATGCCATTCTTTGAAGATACGATATTCAGCATAAACATCATCAGATTGTGGTTTGACCTTTACTAGAAGGAACTCCTTCACAGTAAAATGCGCTAATTCAATTTGTGTTTCGCCAGACTGTCCGGTACTCCTAACAAGGCTACTACACCATTTAAGTATATGTTTTTCATTAGCCATAGAATCTTGGCTCAGGGTATTATCGTTCAGGTTGATGGCTATAGCTTCTAGAAGATCCCCTGTAAGTAAAGTGAGAGGACTACAAACTGTCCATGCTAGTACACGGCGAACCAGTCTTTTGATATCACTGCTTTTGCTATTGGCGCGGTCGAGAATTCGCTCATAAGTCCCAAATAGAGTTGGAGGTAGAGATTGCAAAGCTTCTCGGATTGCTTTATCGTTGGTAAGGCCACATAAGTGATCAAACTGGCACACTACCCATCGAACTAGAGAAGAATTAGCACTTCATTAGCTCCCAATAAAAGCTTCGATGATTGATACTTACACATTCCTTCAGCATCATTTACTAATCGATGTGCAATTTCTTGTTTAAGGGACTCATTTATAACAATCAAGCTATTATCTTCCAAGCGTCTCTTCAATTCCGCGTGGACATAGAGCCTCAAATCGCTTTTATCCGCGGCAATGGACACCTTTTTGAAATCTTTCAGGAAATGTTCGATATCAAATTCTTCTCTTGATGTGAGAATAACTCTGATATTGTTATATTCGTCGGTGGCCAATTGTGACAGGAGCTCCACAACCTTCGATCGTCCATCACCGCACTCATCCAGAGCATCAACGATTATGTTAATATTGTCAACACAGCTAGACATATCTCTAATAAGATCGCAGAGATGTTCTGGGGTAGTTGAGTTCAAAGCACCCTGCCCTCCAAATTTATCTGAACATTGTTGCTTCCAAAAACTTTCGAGTTTAAGGAGGCAACGCTGATTGGATAGAGAGAGCTGCTTGATTAGAGAACCAAGTATAACCAAGGAATCATGTGTCCTAGAATCTTTATAATCACAATAGAAAAATGCTAGACCTGTGCGTTGTCAGCTTTCTTTCCTTCCAAGTGGCCAGCAATGTGTGAGATGGCTTACACTCGTCTTCTTTGAGCCCCTGGAGCTTAGTGGCGATAAATGTGACAATGGAACTCCTAATCTGAGTTTAGAACGTTCTTTTATACAGTTTCAGTATTGATTTACTTACGATAACACTGTTTTCCCAGCTCCGGCTATTCAATGTCAATATTGAGAGAACAATCACTCGATACTACGAATATAGAGGACCACTTACGAATCCCATGGAGCCACAATTTAGACCCTTTTGATGCCAGCCATTCTTTGAATGGCTCACAGGTGAGAAACCACTGTTGAGATTCAGTACTTGAGAATAAATTTCGACATGGAAAGACGGGTAACTGACTTGGCCGCTATCAGGATGACGAAGTTTCGCAGCAACTTCGTGATATTTCTTACTTGGATCATGGGGTGATATACACTGAATCATTTCTTTCTGCTGTTCATCTATTTGGAAAATTAGTCTCACGAAGAACAACCCCACTCAAAACGCGCAGGAGAGTCTTTATACATACTCATTGCTCTCAGTGTTCTTTCTTTTCTCTCAGCTAAAATGTTCGCATTAATATCATCCAATTTTATCATCTGCATTCTTTGATTTCCAAGAGCGTCAAGTAGTGCATTCATCCCATCAGCCTGCAATGCTAAAGTCAATGCCGATATCTGAGTTGCCATCAAGGTGATGAGATCTTTTGTTTCGCTTGTAGTGAATGGCCACGTGAGCGATTTCTTCAACTTGTAAGCTTTTTGACTGGACCTAGTCTTAGTCTGATCAGGATTGTTTGGATCAGCCTTATCTAATCAAACCTGTATGTTATCAAGAAGTCGTTGGCAGGAACTGAGATGCTGAAGCTGCATGGTTGAGGTCCGTGACTCATCATCGAATCGTGAAGCCACTAAGCTCAAGCTATTTAGAATGCCAAACAGAACGGTCATCTGTTCTGCGAGCTGCTTGATCTCCTCCGAGGCTCCTTTTGCAGATTTAAAATATTTATAAGTAGTTCCAGATAGATCCTTGACGATACTTATCAGCCCAGAGATACTCGCGCTAATTGATAAAGGATCCATATTGACACCTGAAATGATATTAAAGAGTTGAATGAGAGTTCTTGATATTTTGAGCTCTTTCCGAAATGCGAGAACTTGCATTTTGACAAGATAAGTTCTTATGAGCTTTTCAATCGCCATCAGACAAGGCTATGCTGACAACCCTCTCACAACGTCAGCCCCCAATTGAACAGGGGATTGGAAAATGGAGTTCTTGCACAACATCCAGTGAAGCTGAAGGCTCTGGGGCCTGCGAGGCTCTGTGACCGCGAGCAAGCGATCAGATTGGAGGGTAAAATATTGCCTTCCTCCATTGGAACACAACTTTATCCAGCGGCATTCAGTCTCACTCCTCACTACACTTGATTTGCAACAAAAATGCTACCACTAGATCACTTGATAAGGTTATTCGTGCGATGTGGCCTATCCAACTCACCATCAAGAACATACCAAGGCTTGATAATGCCCTCACATCACGATCTCAGTCTCTCCATTACCGTTCTCCCCGCACCACATCACTATAAACGAATGATTATTACATGATCAATGAACAATAACGATGCATTTATTCGATAGTGTTGACGGGCAGCTGCCTTGAACGCCGCCACGGGACTAACTTGTCGGTCACTTGCATATATATTGCATAACTCATGTGACACTTTCTTTTCTTCCAACATACTGCTCAATTTGCTGGCTCCATGCACCTCCAAAGAGAAGTGCTTCGCAGCCCCAAGCAATTCAAAAGGAATCATGATCAATCTCAAGCCTAAACTCGCTTTCCTTTCCAAAGGGTATCTTTTATTCGACCACCCAGCCAGAAATAACTTTTTAAGAGACGCACGTGAACCGGTTTACTCCCATGCTCTCTGTCTTTCGCATCTTTATGGAGAAATAGATATCCTACTCCAATGCCGTATTCCTACCATGCAGGCCGATCCACTTAGATACCAGGAGATCGAAAAACACATCTTCACTCATGATTTTCCATATTTCTTGAATACTGGTATTGAGTACCCTTCAACCGATTTTCAGGACACATTCATAAACAGGCAGTCATTACTGTAAAGGCTCATTCCTGTCGATTCCCGAACATACCAAAATAGAAATCACACACCTGATATCAGTTACTTCCAGGAAACAAACAACAAAATACTTCTTACATCTCCACTCCCTCAATCTGGCTCGTCTCCTTTGAAGTTTCTATCCTAAAGCACTCTTCAATGCCCAATATTCAATCTACAGGTACTTGTTACCTCTCACTTCTCATTACAACTTACGCTTCAACTTTTGCTCTCCTAATTTTCGTTTAACATCCGCACAGACAGATCTCCGCTTTGCAAAAATCCCAATATCAACATCAAAATCAACGAAATTGATATTCGTGAGCCATCAGTTGCTAGACAGCCAGTAAGTCTCTCTCCTGCCTCTCGCTTTCAGTTCTAAACCCTTCTCTCCTTTCCAATTCCTTTACTCCTTCCACTTCATCTCAACTTTCTACTCTCTATCTTTCATTCTCCACAAACAACACATACATACCAAACCCACGCTCTCTACTTCTAAATTCCATTTTCCACTACTTGAAAGTTAGCTCTACTTTTATATCCACCTATGTGCGTCTCTGAAAGTTATTCCTGTGTCGATTCTTTACTCTTTGCTCTGCAATGTTTTCATATATCACTTATCATCTTCTGACCTCTCATCTCTCTATCCTACCTTTCCACTACCAAACTGCCTATCCAGTCCCCATTCAATCTTAATTCCAAATCAAGCCAATAAACAACCCCAATTATTCCTATCTACTTCTTCCTTCGCCTCCTGTTCTCGCGAGCGAGTTTACCTTTAACCTCTCAACTCTCCCTCAATTCTCCCTCAACACACAACAAATCGAATCAATCCAAGCCGAATCATCTCAATTCAAATCAACGCACCCCAACACAAACAAACAATACTCACATACTCAAACTCAATTCGAATCAAATCCATTAACCTCTCAAACCACCACGTGCACCTGATCCACTAAAACCCACCCCACACTCGGAAATCACACTAGTACCAATACACCACCATAAATATTCTCATCCATACAGCTCTTCTTCTACACATACAATCCTCAACTCTCAACCTTCGCTTCTAATCTTCAAATAACACAAGATACAACATACCAACTTCAATACACATGCAATATTCCTCATTCCCCCTCCCCATTACCATCTCCTCGATCTTGAAATCCTCCTCCCTTCAACACTCCCCAAGAACCATCGCATATCTATCTATTCATCCTTCTATCCCCAATCCCTCTACTTCAGCCCATCGTTCTTCCTCCTCTCCCTTTCACTCTTTACCTTTTCTCCATAATTGCTTCCTCTCTCTCTCCCTTTCTCCACTCTCTTTCAAATTCCAAGTCCCAACTTTCAAGTCCCAACTTTCAAGTCCCAACTTTCAAGTCCCAACTTTCAAGTCCCAACTTTCAAATCCCAAGTTCTAACTCAGATTCTTACTCCAACGCCCTTCCCGTTTTTCCTTCTCCTCTTCTCCTCTTCTCCTTCTTCTCCTCTCTCCTCTTCTCCTCTTCTCCTCTTCTCCTCTTCTCCTCTTCTCCTCTTCTCCTCTTCTCCTCTCTCCTCCTCTCCTCTTCTCCTCTTCTCCTCTTCTCCTTTTTTCCTCTCTCCCCAATCAATACTCTTACCAGTTTAACATTAACATTCCCATACAAACCATATACACACCTCAATAATCCAGCCATACAACCCACGCACATCAGCCTATACATCGCATATTATATCTTCCTCCCAATCTTCCTCCCAATCTTCCTCCCAATCTTCCTCCCAATCTTCCTCCCAATCTTCCTCCCATCTTTCCTCCCAATCTTCCTCCCAATCTTCCTCCCATCTTCCTCCCAATCTTCCTCCCAATCTTCCTCCAATCTTCCTCCCAATCTTCCTCCCAATCTTCCTCCCAATCTTCCTCCCAATCTTCCTCCCCAATTCTTCCTCCAATCTCTCCCAATCTTCCTCCCAATCTCCTCCCATCTTCCTCCATCCTCCCTTCTCAATCGTCTTTCTCTCCTTCATCTTCATTCTCATCATTCTTCTCCTTCCCCCTCCTCATTCACCTCATTCATCTCATTCTCCTACTATATAAACCCAATTTGATCAAATATGATTTTACTCCCATCCCATCCCCTTCCTCATCTCCATTCTCCATCTCCATCTCCATCTCCATCTCCATCCCCACTCACACCCACACCCACACCCACCCACTCCTCCATCCCAGCCCATTCATTATCACTCACTTCCTCACTTCCTCACTCACTCACTCACTCACTCACTCACTCATTAACATTTATCCATTTATTCACCCCCCCTCTTCTCCCCAATCCCCCATAAATCCATATAATTCCATTTCTCATCCTCACTCCTCATTCCTACAACACTCTCCCCTTCATCTCCACACCCTCCCCCTCCATTTCACCCCCCTTTCACCCCCTTACTCCACCTGCCCCAATCTTTCCCCAAACTTTTCCCCCAAATTTCCCCCAAATTTCCCCCCAAATTTTCCCCCAAATCCTTATCATTCCATACCTTTATCTTTACCACCACCACCACCATCACCATCTTCACCACCACCACCATCACCATCTTCATCTTTATCACCATCAACAAACAACCAAGTACACATATCCACATACCTAACAATAAGTAAAATTCCATTTTCTACCTTCTATTTCTACTTCCCAACCACACCTATATACATCATCTCCCTCTACCTCTCCTCAACGTCTCCCCCTCCACATTCTCTACCTCTCCTCAACGTCTCCCCCTCCACATTCTCTACCTCTCCTCAACGTCTCCCCCTCCACATTCTCTACCTCTCCTCAACGTCTCCCCCTCAACATTCATCAAATCCACAAAAGAAAATCGCGTGGGTATATATAGATAAATCCTATAAAACTATATAACCAACCCCACCTCCACCCCCAACATCCAAACCAAAAAAACCAAAAAAAAGAAAGGTATATACAAATATAAAACCCACTCCGCAAAAAGAGTATCTATTGCAATCACAATCACAATCGTAATCCCAAACCCAAACACCTTTCCATGCCATACCATGCCATGCTATGCAATGAATGCACGCTTCTTTCCACTTCAAAACTCCAAAAATGCTTCATTCGTAAATCTTACTTCCCCCTCTTCCCACAACCTCACACCCACTCACACCCCGGGGACAGTCCCATCTCCCCAACTCTTCCTCAACGTCTTCCCCTCTCTAATCATCTTCGCAATCTCCCTCCCCACCGTCTCCTTCGCCTGTCCCCCCATATTAAAATCATCCCAGAAAAGATACTCATCCGGTTGGTCACAGACGAGTAATCCATTAATATCCGGTAAAGCCCTCGTATCTTTCATTTCTCCTCTCTTCTCACTTCCCTTATTGATTTTTCCCGATTTTCGCTTCTCCCCAGGTCCTCTTTTCTTGCTCGCCCTGTCATCTCCCGCTCGTACACAAGGATCATATACGGAAACATATGGACTTTCTTTTGTACCGAGTCCACTCGCATCAGATAATCCTTCATCTTCCAATTGATGTTCTATAATAATTTCCGTGAGGAATCTATTGAGATCATAGTAATAGATATCTTTTTGTGGTGGAGGAATATCCGGTTCATTTTCCGCCTCAACAACGCCTTCCGACTCTCGCTTTTCTTGTGATTGCGATTGCTGTCCATCGTTCTGGTCGAATGTTTCTGGAACCGCATCTCCAGATCCTTGTTCTTCTGGTGCTGGTGCTGGTTCAGCCCATTCAGAAGTAGTGGTGGCTTCTGGCGTACTAGCAAACCAAGGCTTGATAAAGTTTTCCACACTATTATCCCAATCTCTCACCAACGAAACAGCATTCTTTTGGTGTTCCGACACAGAACTAGGTTTCAATGGAATAGGTCTTTGACTGATCCAACCAGGCAACATTGTAGGATCGAAAAGTTTTTGAATGACGATTCTAAATTGTGGTTTGGGCACAACATGCGATTCGTTATGTGGTTTTTCGACAACGTGAGTAACTTCCAAAGTTTCCCTATGATGTGCGTATAAATTATCGAGTTGTGCGAACATTTCTGTGACAGCTTTGTTTTGGGCCTCTTGAGCTTTGGTATAATCGAGAGATGCATAATGCCATACATCCCACGTGCCGAATGAGACGACGAAGATTGTTTCCTTGAGTTTCTTTTTTGGCAGAGGAAGGGCGATGAAGGATTTTACTTGAGCTTCGAGATCGGGGAGCATAGATTCGGGGGTAATTTTCGTTTTAATATTATTTTGACCTGCGGTATTTTTGATGGAAGAAAGGTAGACTTTGTTGGATGAAAAGGCACCAGTGGGTGGTGATGATGGGTATGAAGATGCGGGTTGGGATACTGCTAGATTGATTTTTGAAGTACACGAGAGCTGAAAACCATCAATTAGTAAATGTGCCAATTGTCAAACCTCAATTGATCAAACCCATGAATCAACAATCAGAAGATGGAGAAAATAAAAACATACCTCTTCACAAAGAACTTCCGTCCAACTTCTACCCTTCCCATCCCCATTCTCTTCAATCGTATCATCAACCCAACTATCTCCAAAAACCACCAATCTCACACCTCCTTCTTCCCCATCCCCTCCATCATCATCTCCACTTGCCCAATCCCACAAACCATCCGTCACATCATTAATACTCGTCCCTCCTATCTCAATCTTCCTCAAATGTTCGGTGTATCTCGATTGAGGTAATAAAGCCAAGATGGTCATTAACGATAGAACCATCGCAAACACCGACGCACCCAATCTTGTAAAAGCGCGCATTGTCGCAAGTCCAACCACCAAAAACCCGGGTAAATTCAATACTCTCCTCCCTTCCCCTTCAACCGCGATTGCAACTAAAGAAAATACAAAAAACCCGAAATCAAGTACTCGTGAATACACAAAGTTTTCGTATTTCTGATAGAATTCAGCCTTGTTAACTTTGTTCCTGAAAATGGTAGGATTATGATGCTGCCAAGAATGCTGGCGTTGCGTACGCCAAGAGCGGATGTGTTATCACCTTCTCTTTTCTGTTGATTCTTCAAAGGACAAAGTGTATAAATAAATATACTTTGAGCCTCTCTCGTTAAATATAAATCCAAGAATGAAGAAACATCAATCGTAAAAAAGGTCCCCCAAAGAATGAGTATGTGATAATGGCAGAGTACAGATTGCAGCAACCAATACGAAGAACAAAACTTGCTTATGAGCAAAGATACGAGTCTTTGACAGCAAAGAGGAAGAATAAATTAAGCAGAGCAATATAAAGAAAGTCGAAAGGAGCAAAGATAGTCCAAGCAAGATCAAAGTACGAATGATACCTACGAATCATGCGAATCAGATAGGTCGAGGAAACTGGAGACTGGCTGGAGACTGGGTAATGAAATAATCATAATCATAAGATCATGTAAGATCTTAGCACTTCCTTCCCAGTCCAGTTTAATTCTGTAGCCCTACCACCTCTGGCACAGTATGGGGGACATACATACTCGTAATCTAGAATGAGACTGTCACTGCATAGCATAGCCCGTCAAAGTTAGCCATGGCCCATGGCCCATGAGCTTGCATCGACACGCAACCAGGACTCGTCAGCTTTTTCTTTTGGTGCAACGGTTAAGCGGATCCGAATGAGGTGCCCCTGTTGAGTGGGTGGTGGGAAGGAAAAGTTGAAAAGTTAAAAATAATCTGTGGGAGATAATCATTAGATGGATCATGGATGGGATGGAAGGTTGAGGGAAGGTCTCGATTTATGGGTGAGGGAATGAGTAGATGGATGAATAATGAATGGATATCTCGTTATGTTGAGGAGTATCTTGCCAATGAATATCGTAATATGAGATGAGATGAAATGAAATGAACATCAATAATATAGACATACCTACCTACTTACCCAGTACTCAATTCCTACTAGGTAATACATATGCAAGTGTGCTACAATAAACCTGGAATTGAATGTTTGGATGTATAAACAAAAAGGAAGTACATACGTATTATTAACATAATAATGATGAGAGAACCTTGGAAATCATCCGAAAACCCCGATGGCTGGTGATGATGATAATGAAAGCTCAAGTACAGTCCAGTCCTGATAAGAAGTACGTTTTGCTTAACCGTAGAATATCCGTAGACTTCGTACTTTCTTTCTGCTGTGGTGAGTATTATTACTATTATCATCACCAACACCAACACCAATAAATAGTACGAGGCATACCAACTGTGACAGATATTATATATATAATTTACAGCCTCACAATACCAACAGTACATACGATATACACCAAGTGTGAGAAACGTCATATAAAAATCTAGTAATTGAAAAGCCTCACCAGCGACTAACCACATCATCAATCTATCTTTGAAGCATACCTAGCATACCAATCAAAGAATATTCATACATATACTATTCTGTACGTTATCGCACAGAAATCATTTTCCCTAACAATACGGCTCTCTCTCTCTCTCTCTCTCTCTCCACCCCAAAATACCTACCACCGTACCTATATAAGTATATAGGTAAGCAAGCACCTCCAGCGCCTCCACGCAAAAAACTAGATAAACCAATATACATTCATTTTCCTCCCTACCCTACTCTACCCTACTTTATCTAGGTAGCCTTCCCTCCTTTACTAGACGCCACGCCATCCCTCCCGCGCGTATTGGAGCACTTAGCCCTGAGGTCTTCTAGAAATATACGTATATAGGTATCAAAAGATTAATAAATCTAGCCAATTCAATCCAACATTTATCTAATACCTCCTATCCCATCCCATCACATCAGCAATCCAATCCCAAATTCTCAAATACGACTAAAAATCTAATGAAACCCATCACGTTCCAAATCTTGATTGATTTTCATCGCGAAGCTCATCCAATCCAATCCAATCCCATCAATTCCAGATTCCATATTAGTAATATCAGCTCACGTGATCTATCAGCCCCATCCCATCTCTGCATGGGAGAAAAAAGAGGCCAAAATTAATCACCCTAATAAATTCTATAATAAATCAATAGATAATAAAAATACAAAAATTAATGATATCTAATAAATCCTTGAATAATCTTCAATTTATAAAAGTATTTAAACATTGAATTCTCTGAATTAGAATGAAACAATAGGATTATTCAAGGGCTTTACTAGTGGTCAATTCCGGCCTGTTTTTCCTCCTACAAAGAGCCCATCCCATCTACAACTAGGTTATCAGATCCAGATCCAGATCCCGCTCTAGATACTCATATAAAATACTCGATATAAACAAACCACCACCATTCATTTCATACCAACTCACATAAAGAAATCCTACAAACAACCTACTCAGTCCAGTATACGCAGTAGATGAATGAATACCTACACTAACTATAATATACTCCATAGTATATACCTACCTACGTATCTAGATAGTAAGTAGATAGAGCTATTTAGTATTTATATTTATATTATATATCTATATCTATCTATCTATCAGTAAGAAAACAAACAAACAAACAAACAACCAATATTCCAAAATCCATTCTCTCAAATCTCAAATCTCAAATCTCAAATCTCAAATCTCAAATCTCAAATCTCAAATCTCACATCTCAAATCTTACAAAACCACATCTACCTATCCACACATATACTCACTCACAAGGAACCAACCACATACTACCTACCCAATAAATAGATAGATATAATATAACTACAAAATCCATCATCATATTGATACCTATCTAGTCCTATTGATACCTATCTAGTATGCACCTATGTACCTAGTATCCAAGCAAGCTCAAGCACAAGCTCCGCCAAATATCTAGGTATCTATCTACTAGGTAGGTGTCTATTCGCCTATGGGAAAAACAGCGTATATAATCAAGATATCAATCATATGCTCGTATCCATAGCCGTTAGATACAATACAGTGGAAGAAAAAAAAAAACAGAAGATAGGTATTCTCCTACAAAACAAAAGTATTCTTTTTGAGATTCCCCTACACCACACCTAGGAAAAAGAAGAAGAAAAGAGAGAAGAAAAAGAAGCATGCAAAAATAACTCCAAACCATGCAAACGCCCAAGATGCATTGAACAGTCAAAACTCTCTTGATTATCTTCTATTTTGGAAACGATTGCCTGTTAATTTTTGCATCTTGGATCGTGGTGGTCCTTGTTCGGCATCATCACTTTCGTCATCTTCTCCTTGCTCGTCAATATCATCGTGATCAACTTCATCCTCATCCCCAGAATCCGCATCAGTTTCCTCAGCCTCATCATCTATTAAATCATCCTCACTATCTTCTTCCTCTTCATCAGATTCCGCCACCATGCCATTAAGCATTTCCTCTTCAATCTCAGAATCCGAAATATCTTCGAGATCTCCGTTCTTGGCAAGTCTTTGAGGTAATCCATTCACGATCACTTCCTCCTCATCATCACTTTGACCCTCAACGTAGATGACACCCTCATCATTATCCTCGCTGTCCAATCCTGATCGGTTTTGCATGCCTCTTCGTAATTCGATTTGAGCGTCCAACATATCCAATTTGCCCTTTAATGATAAAAGATGTTGTAGAGCTTTTGATCTCTCATCGAGAACTCTATTTACCTCGGACAACTTCTTGATGAGACCTCTTTGAGTTGCCAAGTAACCACCATGTGTAATCATTGACCATTGAACCCACACCATGAGACTACCAGCTCTACCAGGTCTTCTATGTAATCTTTCTGCCAACTTTTGTAATAAGATTGCGGCGAGAGGAGAATCGAGTCTTTGAATTGTAGCTCTAATCGTACTAAGATCCGTAGTATGTAAGCAGGATTCCAATAAGGCGACATCGTTTGTCTTGAGTGCTTGAGTAAGAACCGTTCCGAGGGATGCGCCGGAAGGAGCCTGGATTGAATTTTGAGGGTATGAAAGGGTTTGAGATTTAGAGTCTGCGAAAGCGGCGGCAACATCGATAGGTTCCGAGGCGTTTGCTCGAACAAGATCTCCGAATGTTGGTTCTCCATCTTCCTCGGCAGCTTCAGCTCCTTCATCTCTCATTGTCACATCGGCGTTGACATTGCCATCTTCTTCGATATCACTTCCATCCTCCTCGACTTCCTCCATATCATCGTCACTTTGTTCTTCCTCGTCGCTGGATATTTCAACCACTTCGTTCTTCTTTGCTCCATTTGTCTTCACCTTGCTTGCAGCTCCTCCACCCGATACCACCGTTTTCGATTCATCCAAGTGACCAGTTCCAAATGATTTTACACCTTGCTTGATCATTGGTTGACCAAGCTTGGTCGGGAGCTTTCTCTTGGTCGACATTTTGTTTGATTGTGGGTTGTGCGATGTAAGAAAGAGGGTGGAAAATTGAATCTGACGAAAATTAGGTAGATTATCTCGAATTGAGGAATTGGCGAACAATCAATGAACAATCTTTCGAAAGAGAATGAATGGAAAAGGTCGAATGAAAATTAGACGTGACGACCCAATTGAGATTGTATGAAATCAATACGATATACTTTCAAATGGTGGTGGTGCTGAATGAGTTGAGGTATAATCTCTACCATTGAAGCTATCAAACCAAAACTTCAAGAAACTTTTTTTTACCCAAGATAGAAAAAATCAATCTGGATCACGTGGAGTGGCTATCGTGAGCACCAAAGTGTCGATGCGGGCCAGATAAGGTGGATCCGAGAATGGAAATGTGGCTTAATCCTGTTGTTGACGTTGCGATGATTGGTCCAATGGATATCCTTCTTGTGTCTTGATCCATTTTAACCTTTGACCATCCTTGCCGAGCCTTCCCTTTCCTTACTTCATGTGGGGCGGAAGGAGCTGCTGAGTGGATGTGATTGGATGGTATGAGGCCGCCTGCAGATTAAGCACAAGGTGTTAATAAGTTTACTAATAGTGCATTAGGTTTAGTTTCATGGTCATCACTTGCTATCGTTTAAATATGTTAATCGTATGTCCCCCCGAAAGTTCTCGTCTTGCAACCAAATTTTTTAAAGGTTGATTTTGCGACAGCCTTCTCATTCGTCCAAAGCATTGGAGAGCACCGACCACCCCCGATCAACAGCCAAACCCTCACTCAAAATACACCTCACCTCACCTCACCTCACCACGGCACATGACCGTCCTCGCGACCATTCTTAGATCATCAACAGAAGAAAGAAAGAAGAAGGACGATAACGATTTTCCTTATCGATTGAATATCAACAAACACCACGCAATCCACT